GAGGAGGAGGAGGATGATGATCTTCCGCCGCCATGGAGCCCAGCCCACCCCCAGCTGGCAACACATTCTTCAGTCGTCGTGGCCCATCCACACTTCCCTCCTTCCTTGGCTGAGGAGGAGGAGGTAGAGGAAAACGGCGACCGGCCAACAGGACACTTTACGGAGCCAGCTCCTTACGTCGGACATCCCTATTCCGCATATGGGCTGGGCGACAACGGCCAGCTGCTGGATGATGATGACTTGGACGAGGGCACCACGGCCGAAGGGCACGAAGAGGCAGATGGTGGCGATGGCGGATACGCTTTGCAACCCGAGGGAGAGGCGGAAGCCGGCCCGGCTCAGGTTGTCCAACGCAGGAAACGAACCTCGTATAGCGCTGCCCATAAAGCCATTCTTGAAGCCGCGTTCCGCAACAATCCGAAGCCCGAAACCAGGAAATACTGCGAGCTTGCGACGCAGCTTTCAACGGAGATGCGGCGGGTCCAGGTAAGGAGGGCTGACTTGCTCTAGCTCCCGCCTTGGTACGTGATTACCGGTGGCGTTTTGCTAACCACCATGTGCAACATTTCACCCCGCCGTAGGTCTGGTTCCAAAACCGTCGACAGAGGGAACGGCGTGAAACAAAAAGGGATGTGGGGCTTCTTCAGTGTTGAATATGAGAGAAGCATGCACTGGATGGTTTTGCGATCCGGCTGCTGTGGCTGGCTCCGTGCTAGCTCCGTGCTATGCTAGCTCCGTACTGTGCTAGCCATATGCACCAAACGCACTCACGTTAAAACAATGCAAAAAAACAATTGCACGTTTGCTGCAACCCCCGAAAACCTAGTAGCGCAATCAATTATAGCTGGAAAATGCAGCCCACGCTTTAATTGAGCCTAGTGTCGTCCGCCCGTGCCGTGCAGGTCACCAGCTGAGTCTTTTGGGTCTTCTGAGTCTTCTCACAAGGACCCCAGGCCATGGAAAAGGTGTGCATCGCTTCAAAAGTCCCGCGCGCGGGGTGCAAGGGCAATAATCAATCGCTCCCCGACTCGCCGACGAAGCTAGCAAAAACTCGCTGGCGCTGTGCTGTCTGTCAATCGCTGCCAGTCAAACTGGCCACAGCACACACGCGCGCGCACACCCCCTCGGACCCCCTCAGCTTAGTCTCGGGATAGCGACTGGCCACAACGCACCCAACTCGGTTCCTAGTCCCGAGGCTACGGATGCACGCTGCCCGCCTTTGCCTATCGGAGTGCCAAGGACAGGCACCGGCTGCGTAACCAGCCTTACTTGCCATTCCCTTGCCCCCCTTTCCCTTCATTCCCTTTCCCACAACTCTGCGCGAAACACCCGACGGGAAGGGGTCAGGTGTAAGAAGAAGAAGAAAAAGCTTGTCTTGATTTGCCGCCGAGCGCCATGCAGGATGTATGCGCCACACGACACTCGTCGCATTGCTTACCCACTTCCTTCTCCCCCCATCACCCCCCGGCTCGCCCAGAAACGGCAAACCGGTCCTCTAGACCCTTTTTTATTGCCTGCCGGCGCTGTTTTGCCCCCTCCCCTCCTAGAGTTGCATGTGCGGGCATGAGGGCGGCGGGCTGCGGCTAGTCGTGTTCGCCCCCTCCTAGTCGCTAGTCGGGACGCGGTTATCAAAACCCCGATCGCCGACGGACTGGGTGTGTGCATGTGTGTGCATGGTGTGCGCGCGCGCCTGGAATGGAATGGACAGGCGACGAATCATGGAGAGCTCGGGGCGGGGAACGACGGTTAGAGCGGCATTTTGATCCCGAGAGAGAGGAGGGGGGCGAGACGATGTGCTGGCGCAAACACCCACGCAAAAAAAAACAAGAAAAACAAGCAACGTGCCCCCTTGCTTAGGCGCTCTTGGCGCGCCCAGGGCGGGTGCCTTTTGACAGGCTCGCTGAACCGATAGGGTTTACCCGGCTCTCGATTCCCGCCCGATGCCAAGAGTGCCAAAGCGACGCGAAGAGGGGGACCGTGAGGCTCAAATTGGAAAGAGGCACCGTGTATGAGCGAGACTGATGGAGAGAATTGGGAGGGATGGGGACGACAAGCTCAGCAATCATTCCTCTTCGCGCCAGGTAGCTCCCAGGGCGAAGGAAGAGGAAGGGGGGGATCCATCCTTGCCGGAGCATGTGCACGGCATGCGAAGCAAAGGGGGGTGACCCTGGCGAGCACGGCCAGTCTTTTTCGTGATTCGGGCTTTTCCCCCATCTCCTCGCTCGCCAGCCCATGGGATTTCGTGACCCGCCGCCGCCCGGTGTTCCATCGTGCCCATGTGCTCCCCCCTCCCCTTACCCGCGACCTAGACCAGACTAGACCTGTCCCGGGGAGAAGGCCTACTAGCCCAGGAGACGAGATTCGATGGAGAGCAAGAGACAGGTGATTGGAATGTCGCAAAGCAACCGACCGGCCTCCCCTGTGAATGCGACGGCGCCAGCGCGACCCCCAAAAGCAACCTGCACGTTTGACCGACTTTGATGACAAGAAGCTTGCCTGTCCTTCTGACGGGCAGTTCCAACCGCGCGTCCTGACACACACCTCTTCTTCTTTTTTGTCCCGACGCACGGGGCGCCGTTGCACTTGCAAGCAGAGAGAGGGGGGATGGGGGGGGCGTGTCGGTATTGAGTGCACAGTGCAAGACACTAGACGCGAGGGATTTTGAGCCGATGAACAAACTCGATGCCTGGGCTGAAGACGGCGAGGGTGAGGGTGGGAAAGAATTGGCGCATCCCGACAGGACAGGCCAAAAGCCCCTCTGCATGCCCGGGCTTCCCCCCTTTGCGTTGTGTCGCCCTCATCCATGTTTGGGCGCGGGGGAGGAGAGAGAGAGGGAGAGAGAAAGAGAGAGAAAAGGGAAGCGGCCGATGAAAAGGCAAAGACGGGTGACACCTCAGCACAACGCCCTCCGTCTCTCAAGCACGCGATCACGAGGCGGCTGGCCGCTGTGTGCGACGACGGGTACCTGGCGAGATGCCAAGAGGCTACCTTTTTAGCCATCCCGCAGTGCTGGGAAAACAGCTCCCAGGGAACCCCCCCGCAGCGGGAAGGGCACAGGCCAGAGAAGCACAGGCCAAACAAAACACAGGCAAGGGCACTAAACCTGAGGCTGGCAACGGCTAGCTCACCGCCTTTCTCCCGCCTGCCGACCCGTGTTGTATCCGTGCCGGGCCCTTGCCAGCTGTTCGGCGGGCTTTTTCTTTCCCTGTCGCCGCCCGGACATGTGTTTTTCCCACTTGGGGCAAAGGGGGGTGGTGGTGGTGGTGGTGGTGGTGCAACGCCGAGCAGACGAAACAACAGCATCGCATTGGCCAGCTGCGCTGTCATTGAGGGCTCTCCACTCACACGTTCTGACAAGAGGGCAACCCAACCCCCAGCCAGCCAGCCAGCTAGCCAGCCAGCCAACCCCGTCACAAGGCGCGGGAGGGAAACCCCAAGACAGGGCGGTCAGCTCTTGACGCCTGCTCTTTTGGCCAAGAACACCAAGCCAGTCCGTCCCCGGCACTTGTTCATCCTTGTTGATGTGTAGTGTTACTGCCCAGACGGGTGGCCCGTGACATGGCTGACATTTCTGTTGGTCCTTGTCGGACGCTGGAGAGGACCTGAGGGCTTGGCCTTCGATTTTGATGTGCGGTCGACTTGATGGGATGCTAAGGATCAAAAGCGTTAGCGAGGTGGAGACCGACAGGGGTACAGCCAGTATGTAAAGAGGTAAAAGAGAAGGATCCCTTCTGATCCTTGAGACCTGTACAAGGGAGTATCCTGGCCCGAGGGGAAATGGGCGGGCAGCCAACCTGTCATGTCATCCATCACACGACCAAGTCGCTTCTCTGTTCTGCTGTGACGCCGTCACGCCGCACCACCTTTTTGAGGAAGGACGACGGAAATGGATGGATGAGTGGATGAATTGATGGATGGAAGGGAGGAAGCGAGAGGAGAGGAACTCTGGATGGATGGAAGGAAGCGAGAGGAGAGAAACTCTGGATGGATGGAAGGAAGCGAGAGGAGAGAAACTCTGGATGGATGGAAGAAAATGCGGATGGAGGGGAGGGCCGGGTGAATACGGAGCTGAATAGTAGTTTCAATACGAGGCGCGGGATCCAGGCCTTTTGGCCTATGCAATGCAGCCATCAAAAAGGCTGATTTGTTTGCGTCTGTTGTTTTTTGTCGAGATGTGAGATGCATGGGCCGAGCGTGGGGGTTTCGTTTTTTGAGAAACATTTTGATCGAGAAGATTTTGATCGAGTGGATTTGATCAGTGGTGGCAGATAGCCCCGCCCTCACCGCCCTAGACGACTTGTCAAAAGGAGAAGGAGGTGCTGCTGCTTGCAGAGAGTGACATCTACAGGTCCCAAGGACCACAAACCTTGGACGGTGGATCCTGGTGGTACACCAGTTTGGCTTGGTTTTCCAAGCAAGCAAATGTACCTTGCATCCACCGCACTAACGTTTCTGATCCTGGAGACCTATAGTCAAAAACAAAAAAAAAAGTGTCAGGGCCAGACGAAACACCCACCTCGCCCGCGCGCCAAGAAAAGCAAAAATGGCTGCCGGCGGTGGCTTTGGGAATCATGTCGTGTTTGTGTTTGTGTCCGTGTTTGCTTTCAAATGCTTCACCCGAGATCCCGGACCTTTTTTTCTCTGTTCTTTTTCACAAAAGTCTTGGCTGCTTCCTCGTGAGACATATTCCCAAAACATTGCCAAGGCTCACTGTCTCTGCCGGTGCCGGTTGTGACGCTTGTTTTGCTATTGTATTTTTGGGAGCGGGAGAGAGAGAGAGAGAGAGAGAGAGAGAGAGAGAGACGGAGGACACACAAAGGCGCGATGAGATGAGAGATTGAGATGGGATGAGATGGGATAGACAGCACACCAGTGTTCCGCCAAGCCCGTCGGCGCATTCGCACTCTCCAACTTTAACCGTCATGGCCATTTGGGCAAATGCCATCTTGGCAGTTCCGACAGGAAACGAGAGGGTGCCCAGAGCAGCCTTGAATTCAACCTCGGCTGTGGGCTTCGACATGTCATGCATTCACATGCAGGGGGTTGCCTCTCTCGAGTCCCTTTTACCCATCCATCAATCCGAACTTGCCTGCCGACAGTATGTAGGCTAAGGCATGGTGAGGTGATAAGCTGCGATTTACTTCCGAGGCCAACCAGCAATCCACGATCCACGACGATCCAGATCCCATCATCCATCTCGCGCCTCGCGCCTTTGCTGACTCGAGCAGGGGTGGGTTTGCCCACAAAAAGGGTCCCTCTTGGTTTCGTTTCCGTGCCCCCGCAACCAGAAGTCCATCACGTCATGGAGCGGCTAGCGAGCGAGGAGCAAAGCTTCCGTCTGTTGAGAGAGAATGGAACCTGCCTTGCTAGGAACCCAAGAAGTCTTGGGGGCACGCCAGTCCGGCGCCGGCCATTGGCATTATCTAAACTCACGTAGGGCCAAGCAAAGCCTATGATGCAATTGCAGGCCCGTAGCCGAGGGGGCGTTGTTTTGCCGACGCGCGCCCACTTTAGGGCCAGCACCAAGATACCTTGCTGACCTTGGCTTTGGTTCGCTTGATTCCCAGCCAGCCTGGTTTCCCGTGTCGGCGAACCGTCGGGTGAAGTGAAAAGAAGAAGCAGAAGAAGGAAATGGAAGACAGGGCCGTCCCTATTCTACGGCGTCTTCTTGACGAGAGTATGCTTAAATGGCGATTGGCTGCAGCCGCATCCATCAGGGGAAAGATCAAAATGCACCAAACAACCGCACCTGCCAAGCACCTGCCAAGCCGTGGTCCTCTCTTTCTCCCCTTTCACCCATCTGCCGAGAAGCGGACTCGGAGGTCTGGTAATGCAAGCGTAAAATGCCTGCCGGAGCCAAGAGAATGGTGTTGAGCAGCAGAGAATCTCGTGCTCACAGCAGATCGAGGCGCCAAGACAGCGCCGTCGCATTCGCCCAGCCATCTGCAGCGACGCACGGCCCGCTCTGGTCACCAATTCCCTCAGTCTTCATTCATTCATTGTCGTGCCCGTGTCTGCCGTCCCATCCAGCCGCCACCTCGCCGTGCGGACAATAGACACAGGACATAAAGGATATCGCTAGGGCCAGCTCTGCCAACACCCGTCTCATTCCTGTTTGGAGGGCATCATGTGTGCAAGAACCCCACCAATCAGCCCTCAGGGAACAACCAAATTGCCACGAAATGCAGGTGGCTTATTTTGGTAACAACCATCTAGTGCCCCCTCACTGGGGACCCGCCACCCTACTCCACCGAGACCCACGGAACTCCCCGGTACTCGGCGCTGCCATTGGATCGCGAGGAGTGGCCCTCCTCCACCGTAGCGCCCATCGCGTCAGTAATCCATCCATCGACCGAGAACAGCCCTAGCGAAAAACAAAAAACCACCGCCGGGGACGCTGCAGCAGTGGACAGAGGAGGGTCCCCCGCCCTGGCTTTTTTTCTGTTTTTGGTCCTGCGTTGCCAGAAAATCGCTCAAAATTCGGGAGAGACGGCGGGTCAGAAGGAGCCAGCCAACCCCAAGTGTCGACCAGTCGCCCAGGACGGACATCATTTCCGGGCTCGCAGTTGGTGTGTCCCGTATGGGCATTGTGCCAGCAGGTGGCGCCCTGTGGACAGTGGACTGAGCCGCGGGGGCTTGCTGTGTGCATATGTGTGCGTGCTTGGCAGGTGTGAGCGTCCTTGTCTGTCCCATTCATCAACAAAACAAACATGGAAGCCAAGCCTCATTCACTTGTTGAGCTGCAAGCGCTCTCGGGCCGCAGCCTCGCCCGGTGGCGGATGTGCTACGTCGCAGAAATGTCAGAATTGTCGGCGATGCGCGCACTTGCCGTGGACACGTCAAAGTTGCCCTGCCGCGGCGCCAAGAGGCCGACATACCGAGAAGCCTTGGGGCCGTGCTCTCGTCGCCAGACCGATGTCCCGAAAGGGGAACGAACAATCATAGAGCTGCTGCGATAAGGCGCGGCAGACCACCAGTCCAGAGCCCCGGGATTCGACCAAATTTGTCGTCTCTTTTCGTCTTGACTCCTTTCCGTTCGCTCAAGAAGAAAATAAGTGAAAATAATAATAACCAAGCCACATATCCCTGCAAGCTTCGCGATTCGGGGACAGCCTGTCGGTCTGGATTTCTGCAGTAAATTTACATCCCGACATCACCCTTGCCATGCGCAGCGCAGCTTTCTCCGGCTCTTTCTTTCACCTCACCCCTCCTCCCTCCTCCTCAGCCCTCGCCCGCCGCGGTTGGCGTTCCAGCACTGTGCCCAGCGTGGTCTGTGGGCGCACGCACACACCCACACCCCACGCCAGCCCCAGCCCGGCAGGCGATTTTAATAATAAGCCTGACCTAATCTGATCACAACGACCGCTTTTGACTGGTCTCGTATCCCCAACCAGGTGCCTTCTCCCGCTGGACCAAATCCTCGGGCAGCTTTGTCAGGCCTGGGCTTTGACATGCGGCTTTGTACCAGTAGAGGGCGCCCGGGTAGCGGGTGAGGGATGGTCCTGGTCCGGCAGTTTGGGATATATGAGCTAGGCAAAAGATCTAGTTAGGTACCGATACAAACCCGCTCTGCTCAACAAACGATGGGTAAAGTGATTGTGTTTGGCGAGTTTATGTCTCCATGACTTGATATGACTTGGTGGCTGGCGAGTTAGGTAACTCAATGTGGCCGTAGGCAATATCTAGCGTCCAAGACAAGGCTTCTACACGTAACCGATTCGACATTCGCGATGCTTGCAACTTCTTGGCCGCCGGCGCTGCTAGCGAGGTACCGCTGTACCTTACTAGCTTGGCCACTGCCCGCCTTGCACATGAGAAATTGGCAATGATGGCCCTAGGTAATATCGCCCCGCCGGTTTTCCACATCGATACCCTTCGCCCTCCACCCCCCATCGAACCGGGACAAGAGAGACCAGACCCCTTGTCGGGTTGGGAAGGGTCCGTCCGTTCCCCCGTCACTGGCCCCGAAGCTGGCCACTGCAGGCAAGTTGGCTGCTTCTTTTTAAAACACTCACCTCGTTCTGCTAGTTCTGTACAAGAAAAAATAAAACGGGGAAAAGAGATAAAATAAAATAAAGAGAGCCCGATAGACGCCTCTCGCCCTCCCCACTGATTCCTCCTGTTCTCGTCTGGATCCGGCTGCACTCGAGGTCGAGGTCGTCACTGGAAACCTTTTTTTCTCTCCAGCCCTGCGCCCGCTTCCTTACCCATACTTCTTCCCTTCCCTCCCTCACCGCAGTTAGTCAATATCGCTGCTCTGCTGGACCGTGCCTGCCTGCCTGCCTGCCTGCCTGCCCTGGCTGCTGCTCTGCAGATCAGCTCCAGTTCCTCGAACCTCTCGAGTTCCAAGGAACGCCACCGGCCTTGTTATCAAGACCCCCAAGACTTTCCGCTTGGCGCATCGACACGCTATCAGCCAGGCCTTACCGACTCGGGCGCGCTGCCAAGCATCACTGCCGGTCGACCGCAGAGAGAAAGGAAGTGTGTGTGTGGGTGAGAGGGCGAACCAAGGGAAAGCAAAACAGCTCGGTGAATCACCACGACCAGCACAACCACTTGCAAGCGTTATTTTATCTCGATGCCCCCCGGCAGCTAGCATCACCACCGATCCGCATTTGCACCGCCTAGGCCAAGGAACGTTTAAAAGCCAACCGAACAGACAAGTCGAACGATCCGGGAATCGACAACTGAGCCAGCGGAACACGCCGAGATAAACATAAACAGCCGACAGCGCCTCCATCTCCAGCATCTCCAGCACACAACCACTCCCTCACTTCTTCCAAGCCCGCCGCCTGCTGGTACCTTGCACTCGTGGTTCTCCCCCCACGAACACCTTACGACCTCACAGCACACACACACACACACACAAGAGGCGCCGCCCCTGCAAACCGACGCCCGATCCTTGGCAAGCCGCAGGTCACTGCTGCAGTCGACTCATCAATTTTACCTCCCACCTACCTGGTCAGTAACAAAGGGTTCGTGGGATTGGCTCGAAACCTGCGTCTGCATCCCTTCCACACCCTCGACGACGAGTGGCGGCCAACCGGATTGGGACACCTGCTTCTCCCGCCGGGCCCTGCTGAAAAATCTCGCGTGAGACGTGGAGAGAGAGAGAGACAAGGGGAGAAACCCAGGCTGTGTTGCACATAGTCAGGACACCCCGTCGCCGAAGGCCGACCTCAGCTTCGAGAACAATCGGGCCGCTTGACACAGCGAAAAAAAGAAATCAGCTGCACGACAGATCTACAGACATCACAGATCACGCCCGTGTTCCAGAACGCGCAGACCCATCAAAACGACAGCAAGGAAATCGAGAGAGAGAGAGGGGTCCGGGTAGCCGACGCAACCAACCGAAGTGACAGGGCCCAGACAAGACAGGGAAAAGTTGGGGTCAGGTGTGATTCACTATTGCATGGGATTTGCTGCGTGCGCGCGCACCACCAAGATCGGCCTTCCCGATTGATTGATTCCTTTTTTCCCGTTTTTGTTTTATTTCCTGCCGGAACCCAACTGGGGGGACAGACCAAACCCTGTCTCTTGAACCTGGCCATCCACGGCACGCAATTGACCTGCTGGAAGTGGGCGCCGCACCTGCCAGTTTCTGTGGCGCACACGCTAAAACGGGTTTCCCTCCTTTGAGTCCAAAACCGGCACAATGGCGACCACCTTGGCCCCGTTGCCGCCTGCTCAAGCTCCAGCTGCTGCTGCAGCTGCTCCTGCTGTTCACGCTGCCGTTTCACCTGCTACCTCCATCCCCTCCACAACGGTCTCGGCTGCTCGGACAATAGCGCCGATTGTCGAGCAACAACAACAAAAACCAGAACAAAAGCCAGAACAAGAACAAGGTGCGTGATCAATCAATCGTCATTGCTCGTGCCCAGCCCTATTAGTAATTCAACCTCCCGAATCAAACTCCCCTCTCTCCCTCGTCCCCTTTCATGTTCCCCGCGGATACGTGCAGATACATGACATGATCTTCTAATCCAACAACAACTAACACGGTGCCCGCAAATCACCACCAGCCGTCCCAGCAAAACCAGCCTCCCAGCCGACCGCACCCGGCGAGAGCAGCCTATCGTCGTCGCCACGCCAATTCCCCACGGAGCTGTCGAGCCCGATTCTCGAGGAAGGGGATGAGTCGGAGAGCGACTCGCCCAACGAGCCCGTCACTCCCGTCAGCGGCCGTCAGTCCCAGGAGTTCCACGCGCTGCAGAGCCACAAAGTACACCACCCCAGCTCCTTCTCCTCCTCGGTCGACCACCATCTCCCTCTGAACCCCCCGGCCGTCGCCGCCGCAAAGATTCCGCTGATACTAAACACCAAGGCCACGCCTCCACCCCCCGACCCACAGTCTGTCTCGCAAACCGCCGTCTCCGAGGCACCCTCAGAACACACGCCGCTCTCGCCCGCCGCCTCGGCCCCCAACTCGCCCACTCCCACCTCGACCTCGCGCCGCAACTCGCGAAACCCCCTGCCCTCGTTTGGCAGGCGCTCCTTCAGCATCTTCCGTCGCTCCAACTCCACCACCGACAAGGCCGCAATACCCGCCGAGATGCATCTCTCCGACGCCTCCATGAAGCCGCCACCCCAGCAAGTCGGCCGCAGGTGGTCCATGAACCGCTCAAACCTGCCCTCGCAGTCCACCACCCGCTCCAACAGTCCGCCCTCGCCCTCGTTCGGCATGCTCTCGCCCAAGGACCGCGCCGCCACCTCGGCCCTGCCGCCTCCGGCCGCCGCCGGCGCCAACGACCATGTCGACTTTGCCGCCATCAAGAAGAAGGTCCGCTCCTCGACCGGCCTGAGCTTGAGATCGCGCGCCGTCAACTTTGTCACTGGCGACAAGAAGAACGTCAACGGCAACGGCAACGGCACCCAGAACGACAAGTCCAAACGCCCACAACCTAGGAGACGGGCTAGCAGCTTCGATCTCAAGAACGACCATGCAAAGGCCGCGCCCGCGCCCCAGCAGGCCGCCGGGGAGCCGCCCATGGTCGAGCTGCTCCGCCAGCCGTGGGCCATGCCCGCCGAGGCCGGCACCGGCATGAAGGCCCGGAGGCTCAGCCTGAGCCTGCCTGATGACTTCACCGTCGACGTGGTGGAGCTTCAGAGCGAGTTTGAGTACCAGTCCAAGCTCCTGGGTCGTCATGGCAAGCACCTCGGCAAGGGTGCCACCTCCAAGGTGACGCTGATGATGCGCAAGGGCTGCCCCGGTGAGCTGTACGCCGTCAAGGAGTTCCGCGGTAAGACGTCGGCCGAGAAGAAGGAGGACTACGAGAACAAGGTCAAGTCCGAGTACAGCATCGCCAAGAGCCTCCACCACCCCAACATCGTCGAGACGACGCGCCTGTGCACCGACCACGGCCGCTGGAACCACGTGATGGAGTACTGCTCAGAGGGCGACCTGTACGGCCTGGTGGAAAAAAAGTACCTGCGCGAAGAGGCGCGCCAGGTCGACCGCCTCTGCCTCTTCAAGCAGCTGATCCAGGGACTGCACTACCTGCACTCCAACGGCATCGCCCACCGCGACATCAAGCTGGAGAACCTGCTGATCACCAAGGAGAGCAAGCTCAAGATTACCGATTTTGGCGTGTCCGAGGTCTTTAGCGGCATCCACCCGGGCCTGCGCGAGTCGGGCGGCCAGTGCGGCGTGGGCATGGGCGGCGACGTGCGCCTGTGCTCCCCGGGCCTGTGCGGCAGCATGCCCTACGTGTCGCCCGAGGTGCTGGCCAAGAACGCCCCCTACGACCCGCGCGGCCTCGACGTGTGGGGCGCCGGCGTCATCGCCATCAACCTCTTCTTCGGCGCCCCGCTGTGGAAGGAGGCGCGCGACGACGGCTCCAACCAGCACTACTCGACCCTCGTCCGCGGCTGGAACAAGTGGAACAAGAAGCACGAGGGCGACGAGGAGAAGCTGCCGTCCAACGGCGGCGTGCCCGTCCTCAGCGACCTGGACTACCCCTTTGTCGGTCCCCTCGACTTCGCCATCAAGCCCCCGGCCTTCCGCAAGCTGCTCCTGCAGATGCTGAACCCGGACCCGGCCCGCCGCATCTCCATCGCCGGCGTCATCGCCAACCGCTGGCTCAAGAACGTCGAGTGCTGCCAGCTCGAGAGCTACGACGACCCCACCGTCCTGATCGACGCCTCCAAGAAGAGCAGCTTCAACAACAAGAAGATCTTTTGCCACAACCACCTACCCCCCGTGGCCTCGGGCAACCACTCGCTCGGCAAGATGCCCGGACAGGCCGGCTACTAAAGATGGGGTGCTCGCCCCGACATAACCTACACACACACACACATCTACATATCATATCAACCCACCGACCTCCCCGTCACGCTTTCCGGATCCACCTCTTACTCGACCGCATGGATCATGACAGGGGCTGGCCTACTATCGATCCATTGCCGCGATGCCTTTTTTTATTTTATTTTTTTATCCTTGTTTGGCCCCTCTCGGTTCTGTTTGGCACATTACCTCGGGACCCTGATGGCGACTTTTCTGATTTTACGCGCCAGGGACTATTTCTTCTTCTCTTCACATCACACACGGTTTACATCAGGCATACAGGATCACTTGGCGTTTTTGTCCTTTTTTGTGGCTTTGTACCGTCCTTATGTTGCATGGCGCGGGTGGCGGTGTTTTCTTTTTTTTTGGGGGTGGCCTCGTTTTGTTTCACTCAACAGTTTCAATCTCTGGCGGCGGGGTGGCGCTTCTGTCTGTTTTTATGCTCGTACTACACACATAACCTTATTCTTATTTTTCTACTGCACTTTTTATCATCCTTTCCTCCCCTTCTTACCCCTCCCTGCCTTGCCTTCCAGTTTCGTGAGTGGCAGACTTGGCTACACACATATGATTTAATGGATTTTGTGTGTTTTGCCGGTCGACGACGGACGAACTGACGGACGAACTGACGGACGGACGGACGGACGGCGGCGCACAAGGATCAGAGCACAGACCAGATCAGAGAAGGGAAAAAAGAAGAGAGAGAGAGAGAGAAAGAGAGATTATGGAGCAGAGAGATTCCCACTGCCCCGAATCGAGTCCCCTGGTTTTGCGTCCCATCGAGTTGCGTTGCGTTGCGTTGCCTTGCCTTGCGTTCCCTGGCGGCTCTAGAAGAATGGGCGGAGAGAAGCACTTAACCTAGTCATATCCGCCAAACCCTACGTAGACCCAACTAGACCTTTTTGCCGGTAACATCTCAATTCCAGTCTGCAGTTGCGGTGTCTTTACGAGAGTCTCTTTGATATATCACCGGGGTCGTTTTGTGTGTGTGTGTGTGTCCGAGCTGGCTCCTCTATGATGCAATGTGAGCGCACGGGCTCGCGCGCGGGTCTGCTGTGACGAGATGGGGTATAAGCAGTGGCGGCGCGCGGCGGTTTGGACCAAAATATCTGAAGCTGAGGAAAGCAAAGCGATGATGATGATGGTCCGGTTGTTCCTCATCAACGGGGCTAGGATGGTGGCGCAGACGGACGGACGGTGGTGGGTGGGTCATCATGATTCAAGACGAGGCAGAATGGATTCAAGGACAAGGCTGCATATAGACTTTGCAGATCCTCCCATTCTTCCAAAAACACCCCACCGACACCATTTGTCGTTATCACGGCCACGTCGCCGAGCCGAGCCATCACCGCACGTTATATTTAGACAGCAGGGAAAATGGTAGCCCAGGCAACAAATGAAAGATAATTTTTTAAAAGTTAACATGAACCAGGCCAGGGATTTTTTAGCGTTCCACATAAGAAGAAGAAGAAGAATTAATTTAGCGTCAGTGTCGCAGGCACTGTCACCCCCGCTGAGCAGCCTCCAGCGTTTCCCATAGCAGGTAAAACCAGCCTTTCGTTTTAACCAAAAGTCCGAATACCAACGGGTGGCCCGGCGTATAACCTCCACCCCCATGGGCACACTGCCTTGGCTCCAAGCGCAGGAGTCTCCATCCGGTCACAAGTTCTCGGAGATCTTTGCGGAACCGGGGTGCTATAATCCCAAACGTTGTTAGTTTATTGATCCCAATTTTGCTCAACAAAAGATAGGTGCTTACTGCAGAAGCACCTTGGTGGCCTGCTTGGGCACAAGGTACGGGGCCCGTTTCAGCTTCTTTATAGCGGCATCGAACTCCCTCTGGGAGTACAATAGCCGGTACCATCCCGGAACTTCGGTGAGCACCCCCACCGCGATCGGCCGGCCGCGCAGAAAGATCGTCTTCAAGATGTCGTAGGCGAGTGGTGGTGCCATGGTGGCACAAGGTATGGGGCCCGTTTCAGCTTCTTTATAGTAGCATCGAACTCCGTTTGGGAGAACAATATCCGGTAGAATCCCGGAGCTTGGGTGAGCACCCCCGCCGCGATCGGCCGGCCGCCCGGGATAATCGTCTTCAAGATGTCGTAGGAGAATGGTGGTGCCATGGTGGCGGCGGGCATCGGGCAGCGGGCGGCAAGGGCCGGCGGCGAGCTGGATGTAGATGAAAGCTGGATGGTGGCGGGCGGCAGACAGTAGACGAGAGGAGATGCGCTAGTGTGGGTATGCGGCAGTGCGAAGATGTGGTGGTTGTTTTGTTTTGGTGGCTTGCTTAGGCACAAGGTATGGGACCCGTTGCAGCCTTGCCAAAGTGTTATGGAATTCTTTTCCGGAAAAATAAATCCGCCGGAATTTTTAAGCTTCGAGGACCACCCCCGCCTCGATTGCTTACTGCACGAGCACCGTAGTGGCTTGCTTGGGCACAAGGTATGGGGCCCGTGGTGGCTTGCTTGGGCACAAGGTATGGGGCCCGTTTTAGCCTCTTTATAGTAGCATCGAACTCGGTTTGGGAGAACAAAATCCGGTAGAATCCCGGAGCTTTGGTGACCACCCCCGCCGCGATCGGCCGGCCGGCCAGGGTAATGGTCTTCAAGATGGCGTAAGCGAGCTTGGGTGGTGCCATGGTAGCGGCGGGCAGCGGGCGGCAGGGGGAACGGCAGCGGCGACAAGGGCCGGCGGCGGGCGAGTGTATGGGCGGGCGGCGGGCGGCAAACAGCGATTGTGAGTAGAGGCGCTGGTGTGGGCATATGGCAGCGCGAAGATGTGGTTGTTTTGTTTTGTTTACACTTTCCTTAAAATACCAGTCAACGCCATTACCTCCTGGCTTTAACTGGGAAACGCCATTACCTCCTTCTTTACAAAAATGGTGTGGTGATGGTATCAACTGGGAGGCGCGGCGGACGTATGCGATGGCATCGTGGCGGTGGGCGGCGGGCGGCAGGGGGACGGCAGTGGCAGCAGGGGCCGGCGGCGAGCTAGCGGCAGACGAGAGTTGATGGCAATGGGGCGCAAAGGCGAGCGTGCGAGCGAGCAGGCGGCAGATAGCAGACGAAAGTAAAGGCGTTAGGGCGGGCATACGGCAGCGCGAAGAATCTATTCGATGCCACTATAAAAAGGCTGCAACGGGCCCCATACCTTGTGCCCAAGCAAGCCCACACTAGCGCCTCTCCTTTCGTCTACTGTCTGCCGCCTGCTACCATCCAGCTCTCGTCTACATCCAGCTCGCCGCCGGCCCCTGCCGCCCCTGCTGCCGCTGCTCACCCAAGCTCCGGGATTCTACCGGATATTGTTCTCCCAAACGGAGTCGATGCTACTATAAAGAGGCTGAAACGGGCCCCATACCTTGTGCCCCACTTTCGCCATCTTCAAAACAATCATCCTGGCCGGCCGGCCGACCGCGGCGGGGGTGGTGGCCCGGGCCTGAGGCGAGGGGCCGGTGGATGAGCCGGCGTCATTGTCAGGAGCCAAGTTGGTGTCATTGCCGGGAATCGAGTTGGTGATAAGCCATTGCCTGCGAGGGCGAGCAAAGGTCGCCGCCCTTTACCAGTGCATTACACGATGCTCGAATTCTAGTTTCAATGGCCTGAAAAAAAGGTATGTGAATACTATGTGGGTGGGATTGATGCAGAACTTGGTGAGATCGAACATCCGCGATCTGCTGCTGAGTCTGCTGGAGGGGCGACGAGGTTGTTTGACTTGACAGGCATTCCACCACCCATCATGCCCATTTCTCCCATTCCACCACCCATCATGCCCATTTCTCCCATTCCACCACCCATCATTCCACCACCCATCATTCCACCACCCATCATACCCATTCCTCCCATTCTACCGCCCATCATACCCATTCCTCCCATTCCACCGCCCATCATGCCCATTCCTCCCATTCCACCAGCCATATTGCCGCCCATGGGACCGCCCATGCCGCCCATGCCACCCATGCCACCCATGTTGCCCATTGGGTTCATACCCGCCATGTTGCCCATGGGGTTCATGCCGCCGCCCATCAAAAGAGCTGAGGGCGTCCTGGCGCCGAAGCGCCTCGTCATGGCGGAGCTGGAAGAGGCAGAAGATCAAACAAGTACCTGGGTCGAGAACTCTGAGTGAATCATCAAATATTTGTCCTTGCCGACAGAGCCCGCCTGCGGGTTCTGCCACTCGGTGTTGCTGCCTGACGGTTGCCGACAGAGCCCGCCTGTGGTCTCTGCCACTCGCTGCTGCTGCCTGACTGGCTGCCCACAGAGGCCGCCTGCGGATTTTGCCACTCGCTGCTTGTCCTTGCCGACAGAGGCCGCCTGGGGGTTCTGCCACTCGGTGTTGCCGCCTGACTGGTTGCCGCCGCCTCCGCCGCCTGGGCGACCTCGGGCTTCCGAATACCCGAGGCGAGCGGGGGCTCTTGGAACATGTTCATGCGCATGATCTCGCAGAGTATGCCTCGGATCTGCTGTATTTGCGGTATTGCCCGCTCGAACAAGGCGTGATTGCTAAGCTGCGAGGGGAGATGCACGATGATGAAGCTGTAGATTTCCCAGTCGCAGCCAGCATGGAGCACCGTAATCAAGGCCTCCAGCCACGATGCCATACTCAATGCGGGAACGTGCGGCCTCTTTTCGGTTGGCTTGGGAGAAACGCAGAGCAGAACCGGGCTCGAGGTGGACGAGGGTGTCTGTGGCAGCGCGTCGGGATCGGGAAGCGACCCCCGAATGTCGTTATCGGCTCGCTCTCGCAGCCGGTGTCCTTTAGCTCGGTCTCACAGCCGGCGTCGCGAATCCAGCCCCGAATGTCGTCATCGGTGGTCCACCAGTTGAGCTTGTTTGGTATCGGCCCTCACGATACCGACTTCAAGACCGGCATTGATGGGTTCGATGGATACGCGAAACTGACCTGTGTACCGGCGAGGTTGTTAGTCATGTATGGCGCAGCAATGCCTTCTGATTCCGCAGTGAACGTACGTTTTTGAGTTCGAATCTTCCCAGCACGCCGATGGGGTGACGAGGGCTATTGGAGATGTCGATTGTTCCATCTTGTTTTGGCCAAAGGGGGAAGGCGTGACACCCTCAAGACCATTGGCTTTCCGCCACTGGCTCTCGGTCTCGGGCGTCACGCCTTCCCGGCCCGGTGCGTTGATTGTGATTGATTGTATGCTCACATGGGTTGACGAAGGGACGCCAAGGGGAATCATTGGCTGTGCATAGAAAATATGGAATCATATTATGGTATGTGCATGCAGACTAGTCGTATGCCGGCCTTGAATCCCCAGCCATCAAGAATTGAAACGATATATGTAGGAGGAAACTGGGAGGAGCCGGGTGCTTGTTGGAGGCTTGCATGTACAGCGGGCCGTTCATGGTATCCTTCCTGATGACAGAAGGGTCGCGCACCGCGGATCGCCGAGGAGACAAGACCATGCTGGTCCGGCGCGTCACGGGTGTTCAGCGCCGTCTGGATGTCGTCGTTAGCGGCGTCCCATTGATCCGTGGTGTTGGTTTCGCGTCCCATTGATCCGTGGTGTTGGTTCCGTCGTAGAAGCTCGTTATGGCCTTTTGCCACAAAGGAGGCTATCACCAAGGGCCGGCACACTGTTCCAGGCCTTGGCACGGAAGATCTGCACGGGCACTTCAGAGGCGATGGTCTGGCAGGGGTCTGGAGAAGGTCGATCTCGGCGGCGATCTGCTGTCAACAGACCCCCCCAGCGCCAATGACGACGGGGCGCCGCCTTGCTCTAGGAAAGCTTCTTCCCCATCAGGTCGGCCAGCTCGTCCAGCAGCCCGACCGTCTCGGCCGGGTTCGCTATCCAGGCAGTGGTGCCGACGACGCGTGCACGAAAGTCGTTGGCGCCGGCGCTGAGGAACTGGTCGCCCACGTGCAGCGTGGCGTCGCCGCGGATCGGCGTCACCGCTGTCATGGCCGTCGGGGGCTCCCGGCCCGCCGCGAGGGCCGCCTCAGTCGCCGCCGAGGCCTCGCGCCCGCCGCCGAACCAGCGCTGCACCACGGCCACGCCCCATGACTTGTCGCCAATGTCGACAAAGACGTCGCGCCCGCCGTTGAAGGCGCAAAACGGCACGCGCCCTGCCCGGCCCGCCGCCGATAGCTCCACGCTCTTTTGCACCACCAGCACCGTCTCCTCGAGGCTCTCGCGCGCCAGCGGTGGGATGTAGGTGCTGCTGCTGCTGCTGCTGCCGCTGCTGCTGCCTGTCGCCGCCGCCGCGGGCGCCAGCGGGATGATGCCCACGGCGCGGTCCTTGCGCATGACGGTGGCGGGCAGCGCCAGGGTGTCGACGCAGTCGCGCAGGGCCGACTCGGCCACGTCGAGCAGCGCGCATATGTCGCGGTCGTCCCAGGCCGCCATCTCGGGCGTCAGCCAGCGGCGTCGCGGCACGGGGCTGAGCAGGTGCGGCGCCGCGGCGTCGAACTCGAACAGGTAGTTGGCCTCGCCGCCCATGACCACCAGGTTGGAGCGCTGCGCGGGCGACAGGGTCGGGTCGGCCGCCATGGCGTCCAGCAGGCCGTGCAGGCGGGCGTGGTAGCGGTCCGCCGTGGTGTAGCCGGCCGCCGTGACGATGGCGACGCGCACGTCCTTGCGCAAAAGGTCCAGCATGCGCGGCACCACGGGGCTGTCGGGCTCGAGCGACTGCCCGTCGTCGTAGAGTGTCACGTCGCCGTCAAACGTGGCCAGCTTCAGGACCCCGTACGTGGTCACCGCCATGATCTGCGCCGAGTTGAGCACCAGGCGCACGTCGTTGAAGGACGGCGACACGAAGCGGCGCGACGAGATGAAGCGCTTGCGGTCCTGGAACTTGAAGGCCGCCTCGAGAGGTAGGCGTGTGAAGAAGGGCCCAACTGTTGGCACTAGCAACTTGAGCTTGGACGGAAGCGGGTGGTCGTCGTGCTGGTGCGCGATGTGCTCGTCGATCATGGCCTCGACGTCGCGCATGATCTCGGCGTAGCGCCGGTGTGCCTCCTCCGACATGTTGCTGACACCCGGGCCATGGCTGCGGTCAAAGACGCCGGCCGGTTGCGAGTACAGCACAAAGGGCACGGCAAGGAGGCCCTTGATCCATTCTACGTCGGGTTAGCCGACATGTCACCTTGCGGGTGGGTGGGGGGCACTCCCGAGGGGGCCCGAGTGATACGACGGGCCGAGGCGAGACGTTGGTGATGGGAGGCTGCCACTTGCCGATGAACTGGTCCCTCCGGTGGGTCTTGAGGGCATCTACCCAGCCTGTGTGTTAGCCATGGTCGAGAGCAGCTTCTGGCGGTTGGCACACCCACATTCGACCCTGTATCTTGTCGTCATGGCTGCGATGTGGGCTGGTAGCTATCAAGATGTAAGAATCTTATGGTGCTGTTTGACTGTGATTGCTGCTGGCCTCTCTCTTTCTTATACAGCAAACAGGGCGGTGATGATGGCTGCACTGTCATCCACTCTCACTCGCGGCCCAAGTGAGGGGCGGTGAGGTGAGACACGGTGACTGGGTGCCGGCAGCCACGCTGTGCGGGCGGCACGTGCAGCGCCTGTTGCAGCGGCGGCTGATGGGTCACATGGTACTTCCTGATACAGGCATAGCCCCTGGCCGTACAGGGGTTGAGCAGAGGCTTGGCAGGCGAAGATGAACTCAATTCGGTGCGTGTGAATTCAGATGAACACATTCGATACATGGTCCTCCAAGATGAACCCCTCAGCACCGCTCGCTGACGGTCTGGGTGCGTGTCATACATCCCTCAGGACACGCCGTCTGGCAGCCCCGCACCTCGAGCAGCGTGCGCGGGCCCGAGCAGCCGCAAGGCACCACCAGCTGTTCCTGCTGCACGCAGTTGGGCACCGGGCAGCGGATGGCTTCACACCCGTTGGGCCGCGTGATTTGCGTCACCGTTGGACACGCCGCCGGCTGTGGAGTTGTCTTGGTTGTCGAAGTCACCGGCGGCGGCAGCAGCGTGATGCCCCAGCTGACCGACTGCGACGTGGTGGTGGTGGGCGTGGCCCGTCGCGTCGTCGATCTCGATGTCTTCCTCGATGTCGATGTCGATGTCGTAGTCGGCTGGCACGGCTGGTTGAGTGTGCGCACCTCGAGCCCGCAGCCGTTGTACGGGCACTCGGCCTGGCACGGCGCGATGAGCGTCGCCGTCGGCACCGCCCTGGGGCAGTTGCACGGGTTCTGGATGGTCGTGACGAGCATGCAGTCTGGGTTGCTGCAGCGCCGCCCGCATGACGCCGCGAGCTCCGTCTTGGTCACGACGGGGCAGTTCTGGCCCGCCGCCGTCGATGCGGCCAGCGCCGCCGCGAGCACGACTGCGACCCGGAAGTGCATCGTGTCTCTTTGTTGGCTGGTGTGTCTGTTGCGAGCGCTGTGCTGGGCTTGAGCGGGTTCCGGTGCTGACAAAAGTATTTAGACGGGATGGGGTTGCCGCAACGAAGAGGCCTTCTTATACCCGTCCAAGTCCAAGGCCACAAGCCTGTCGCATCCTTTCCTGGAACTTGACCGACGCTCCGTGTCCAGAGCTGGTCATCCTCGGCCAGATCCCATCGGGAAAACAGGATCGGATTCTCGGCCGAGCGTCTGACTTGATCGGGGCGCGGTGAGCTGTTCTTTTTTTGGAAGCAGGCGAAAGACGTGCCAGAGATGGAACCTCGCGTGTTCCCGAAATATCCTCGCCTGCGATATTGCAATCATGTGCATCTTCGCCCTTGGAGCCGCTATTGCTGAGACCAAGGCTGATGTATATTGACCTGACAGCCGAGACCAAATTCCCATATTGCCTGCACTTGATCCAAGCAAGGCCCCGAGACCTTCTGATATCAGTCGATGGCGGCAGAAGGCGAGCGCTCCAATTGCCCGCCTTTTAGCCTGTTTGATGACACAATCAAACACAGCCGTCTTGCCCTTCCTTGTCAGGCGACTGTTCGTGTCCAGGCTTCTTGGCCTTGATCAAGATCCTGTTCTTCAGCTGCGACGGCGATACGAGGTTGCCCTTCCCAGGCGACTCTTCGTGACCGGGCTTCTTAGCCTTGATCAAGTCTGATATGATTCGATTCCTTGGAGCGATGGTTGGTCCATCTTAGTAGCGCATGTCAACCCAGTCGCGGTAGGGAGAGTTCAGGAGCTGATAGAGGTCAACCAAGTTGCTGGAGTTGAAGTCAAAGTCGCGCTGCTTTGGCTTCTTTTGCGTGAAGACGGGCGGGGGAAAGCTGCGCGAGAAGATGTCGGAATTGTTCCTTTGCGCCAGGAATAAGTTGTTGAAGGCCAGGCCGTCTGAATGGACAACATGATGAAAATGTTGTTCACATGGAAGCCGGGGACCGGCCCACGCCTTCCCGGCCCGGGCTCTCGGTCTCGGGCGTGACGCCCTCGAGACCATTGGCTTTCCGCCAATGGCTCTCGATCTCGGCAGCTTTCCAAGCAGAGCTGCCGAGGCCGCAACCAAGGGTGACGTCTTGGTTGCGGCCAGCGGCGAGCACAAGACCGGGCCTCGACCATCAGATAGTCGATGAGGACGCGGGTGCCATTGGGGAAGCCCCCAAGCCTGATGAAGAGCTTGTGGACCTTGGGAAACATGTGAGGCGGGCGCTCCTCGGTCCAGCGGAAGACACAGTTGACGGCCTCGACCATCAAATAGTCGATGAGGACGCGGGTGCCATTGGGGAAGCCCCCAAGCCTGATGAAGAGTTTGTGGACCTTGGGGAACATGTGAGGCGGGCGCTCCTCGGTCCAACGCAAGATACAGTTGGCGGCCTCGACGAGGTGGCGGTATGGGGCCAGCTCCTCGGTCCAACGGAGGACACGGTTGACGGCCTCGACGAGGTGGCGGTATGGGGCCAGCTCCTCGATCTTCGGTAAACTTTGGTGAAGACAGTGGTCGTCGAAATTGATGGAGACAATTCCGACGGCGATCAGTCTAATCATCCATTGCGACCTGGGCGCCAGGTGGCAAGGTTAGTAAGAATTTAATTTCGTCAAAATGAAATGAGGAAAGAGAAGGCATAGTAAAAAAAAGGCATATGAGGTGTGGCAGGGCTCGAAGCTTACACAAGGTCGCGGTGTCCACGGCCATATGCCACCTGAACGAAGTGGAGCAGGTCGCCCGGGCGGGAAGTGCAGCTGCCGAGGCCGCAACCAAGGGTGACATCTTCGGCGTGCGTCGGCGGCTTTTTCTTATTCTTGTCCTTGGCCTTGGCCGTCTTGGTTGCGGCCAGCGGCGAGCATAAGGCCAGCTGCCGAGACCGCAACCAAGTTGGCCAGCCCCAGACCGCCAGAGGACGGGCCTGGGTCCGTCGCAGCTTGCTCTCGGCGACGGGCCGCTAGGTTGCGCCCTCGGCGTGCGTCGGCGGCTTCTTCTTCTTGTTTTTACGCTTGGCCTTGGCCGTCTTGGCTGCGGCCAGCGGCGAGCACAAGACCGGGCGAGAAGTGCAGCTGCCGAGGCCGCAACCAAGGGTGACGTCTTGGTTGCGGCCAGCGGCGAGCACAAGACTGGGCGAGAGGTGCAGCTGCAGCTGCAGCTGCCCGGTCTTGTGCTCGCCAGTCATCAGGACGGAAACTTGCTTTCGCGACCAAAAAACTAACCGATGGGCGAGGCTTGCCAAAGGCTGGTCAAGCCTGTGTGTGCGGCCTTCCTGCTGCTGGAGGTGCTTGGTCAGGGATTCTTGGCTGATAATGCTGGTGCCCTGCGTGCCAGGCGAGAGCGGCATCTTGCCCGTCGTCGCACTGGCAGTCCAGAGCACCAGCATTGTTCCGGTGGGGGATTCCTGGCTAATAATGCTGGTGCCCTGCGTGCCAGGCGAGAGCGGCATCTTGCCCGTCGTCGCGCTGGTAGCCTGCATGTTGGGCAAGAGCCCAGGGCGCCAGCACTGTTCCGGTGGCTAAGGCTCCCCACAGGAACACTCGACGGCCGATCCAGGGATTCTTGGCTAATAATGCCAGTACCCTGCGTGCCAGGCGAGAGCGGCATCTTGCCCGTCGTGGCGCTGGTAGCCTGCGACGCCCGGTTTCCAGCACCACAACCTATGAGGTAGTTGGCTAGCTGGCCAGGGGGGAAGCCTGCAGAAAAGACGATTTCGACGCCCACGACGCACGTCGCCAGCTGGCCAGGGCTGCCCGGTGCCATTCAGCCAGGAGGCGCCCAGGGCCCAGACGTGCCATTGGGATGCGTGCCTGTTGTTGCGCATGGGGTCATGGAAGTTTGTGTTGGTGATGGTGCTCTTCCCTGACCCGCTCCGTCCGATGATGAAGTTCGTCATCTCAGGCTTGATCTCCATCGCCGCCATGATCCGCCTTGACCGAGATATGTCTCCCACGAGGCTGCATAACGGTTCGCGCGACGCAGCTGGCGTGGGGGCGGATCGTGAGATGGCCGAGAGACATGCTCAAATCCAGACTTCCAAACGAGCGTGACGTCGCAAGTCGTGAGATGGCCGAGAGTCATGCTCAAATCCAGACTTCCAAACGAGCGTGACGTCGCAAGCGTTGGTCGCTCGCCGCCGCCATGACAAGAAGGCAGAAACCGGACCCGTCTGTTCGCCCTACCAGTGCCGCTCTTTAGGCACTGGTATGGGCCAAGCAGTAGACGCGTTCATCTGAACCGGCCGCCGTCGCTTGAACCGCTTCTTCGACAGCCAGTCCGAGAATGTTTGGTTGGGGGCGCATCTGCCTCTATGGGACTGCTCATTGGTGATCTGGCGGCTTGGTCTCGGTTCAGATATGGGCTGTGCTTGGCCTAAGCCCTTCTCCAGTCGCTGGTCTGCTGGATGGTCACGGTGCCTACAAGACGCTGAATGCTTGTGTACGGTTAGCCTCTGCCTGGGCCCCAGCCTCTATGCGTATGTTTTGAAGCGGAAGACGGAACTGTCTTGTCGGGTTCTGCTTGCGGCTCTTACATTTGGCACCACCGGGGTGGATCAAGAAACGGCACGCCCTGTGGTTCAGGGTGCGAGGACACTGCCACGTTGTCGGAGATGTTGAATTATGTGACCTGTAGCCTCCCTTGACTTTATCATCGTCCGCAACGTTAGCATCCCGACTGTACGCAACATCTGAAGACACAAATCTCGACTTACCAGGCTGCTCACAATCTTGTTGACGTCCGTCGTCATCTGATTCCGCCTGCCCTCGCGTCCAGTGATGCATGCTTGACCTCCCATCATGCCATCGGCGCCAGCGAAAGGAGCCTGGAGCAGAGAGACCGGAGAAGAGCGCAAATCTCAATCTCTACAGTTGGCGTCCACTTCTTGCAGTACTCGCGGTGCCTCCGTATCTAGCATCCCGCTCTAACTCGCCTCAGAAGATGGATAGTTAGTCTACCATGCGGTTGATGGGTGGACGGGGGGGCAGCCAATACTCGGGGGACAGACCTACTTATACTTTCATGGTCGGCCGTTGCCAGGAATCGCCTTGACCGAGGTGAGTCGCCTCCGAGGCTGCATACCGGCCAGGCCGAGGGGTCCTGGGATGCTCATGGCTGCTGGGAAGGGTGAATGTGAAGCCAGCACGGTGATTGCCAGTAACAAGCTCTGAAACGAGGACCGAGCAGTCAAGTCTTGGCGCAAGTGCTCCATGAATCTGCAAACTCCTCCCCATGTACAACGTGGTTAGTCCTTGCTATACTTCAGGGAAGAGGGAAATGAATCGACCAAATGGTAATACCTATGCTTGAAGCCTGATAGCGACCTCGTACTGGACGGTCGGCGTGTGCTGGCAAGGTCAGCTGGTGATATTTACTTGTTTCTTTTCCTCGTTGCTGATTGCAAGTCCGGCCAGATGGCACACTTTGTCCAAAGTTGTGAGGGTATCGTGCAAGCAGCGATCCCAAGGAGGTGAAGTAACAGAAGAACTTGGAAGACTTACCGACTGTTTCAGGCCGAGGAACCGAGGCGCTCTGTGATGCCCGGAACGCGAGGGGTCGTTCGGTTGGGCTGTCCCGAGGTGGCCGTGCAGGGAGAGTGGGTTGGTAGGGTTGATGGGGAGGTCAGGCTGCAATAGAGGCCAGGTCGGCTGGAAGGAAGCCTTGCTGTAGATAGACGTATGGGACTGGTCTGATGGGTTGATGGGGAGTGATGCTGCCAGAGTGAGTGCGGTGTTTGTCCGGGTTTTGTTTTGAACAGGTTCTTGTGTTGGTATCCTCGCGGGGTTCTTGAGGAGAAAATGGCAGTGCAGACCCCTCCACTCGTGCTAGGGAGGTTGCTGCCATCTGGAGGAAGGAACGTCCAACTAAACCAGACCTGATATGTAAGCATGTATGCACTCTTCCCTGTTGAGTTTGAGGTGTTGGGTCAGCCTATTGGTTGTGGCTTGCTCAAGTCACGCGAGCTCGGCAAAAATTACGCAGTTGCTCAGGCACTCTAGGCACCAGGGCAGCTCACCCTGGGAAGTCACTACTAGCCTTCAAGACTGACAGCCAGGATGCCCAGCAAGCTCACCCGCACTTCCTTACGACCGTGACCTAGGATCAAGCGTTAGGCCGCCCGACTCTTGACAAGCGGCTGCCAGATCAGGGCAGTCTTGCAGGCTCCTTCCTCTTTCACTAGGTCTCTAAGAAGGACTCCCAGCCTCTCAGCCCTCTGTTTCGAGAGGCAAGTCGGAAGCCAGCAGTCGCGTGCCGACCCCTGCCTTTCTTCTCCCATTCGTCTTCCCTCCCATCCTCCTTTTCCCATGCTCCCTCTAGAAGACAATCATCTCACATCCTCCTTTTCCCATGCTCCCTCTAGAAGACAATCATCTCACATCCTCCTTTTTCCTATCCTCCCTCTAGAAGACAATCATCCCCCATCCTCATTTTTCCTATCCCCCCTAGAAGACAATCATCTCCCATCCTCCTTTCTCCTATCCTCCCTCCAGAAGACAATCACCCCCTTCCCCTAGGTTATCCTCCAGATCGAATAGGTACCACACCCCAGAGCTCCAGCGGCAAGCCACGCGGATGAAGGAAGAAGCTGACTCCCCTAGGACGCAGCCTAACCCCTGCCCGTTGCCAACAACCTGGAGACCGATCCACAGCGATTCCTCCACTGAGCCAGCGGCCGGGCTGTGTTCATCGACCGAAAGGACACCCCACAACGGTCACCGGACAGCCGCACCAGCCCTCCATCCCATCCAGCCTTGGAAGCACGGGAAAGATCGAATTGGTGATGCGTACACTTCAACGACGGATGCGAGAGGTACGAAGGCAGCGCTCTTGCATGGATCCATTTTGCGTGCTGGCAGCTTTCTAACATCAACCTGTTCCAGCCCTTACTGCGATCCATAACGCCTCTCGCTTCGAACTAGCCATTCTCGCCTTCACCTCTACGCCCCTAAACAGCCATTCCGGCTCCCGCAGAGTTGGCCAAGAAGACTTAGGGACGAGGCAGTGGGGTGTCACAGGCAACATCCAAAGTCCGTTGGCAAGAACAAGCAGCGGGTGATCCGGCCGGACCCTGCAAAGCTCCGGTGGTGCGTGATGCGGTAGCCAAACGGCTCTGTGCAACGTCCAAAACACCACCAGTGCCGCTGGCACCGGCACCACTCGTGGTACCGCCCTGGCATCGTGCTCACTGGTCCATGGTATGTTGTGTCCAGCCTTGGGTGTCGGCCAGACTAGGTTTGACCAAGCTAACCTCGGCGATAGGACTTGCGGACAAGAGGAGAGAATGACTTGAGGTCGACACGAGGGAGCGGGGCCGGCGGTACTCGCACCCCTCGGGCCAGGGCCTCTGCACCCCAGCCACCGGGCGGCCAAGTGGGGAGAGGAGTACACATCCAGTTCGCGAGGCTTTGACAGCGGTCAGGGGCGCCAGCCTGCCAGAAGCCCATTGTTGATCACGCCATGACTTCGAGACTCCCGGCCGAGTCCATGATACCGCTGCCCTGGAGATTCGACCTCTTGCATGCGTATCACTCCTCCCAAGATAGCGCCGCCACTCTTGGCTGCCTTCGGTCCTGCTTGCTGCTTTCTCAAGTCGCCTCTATCTATGAGAAGCTGCCTGACGGGGGACGGGCTCTTTGGAGCCTGGAGCGACCGACAAGAGCCCATCTACGTCACTGGCAGACCACAAACCCTTCTTGCGCAACGCATGCTGGCCCAGCTAGACACTAGCCGAGCTACCCAGCACCGTCATCACATTTGGGCGTGATCCTCACCCAAGACGAAGCAGCGAAGAGAGACTCCCTACAGGCCACAGCGCTGCACTAGCAAAAAGCTCCCTACCACAGGCCTGTGTGTTGACCTGTCATTGCCTCAACTTCCATCGGCTTGCCAGCTCTCCTTCCTCAGCCTCTCCAGCCGCCTTCCATGACTCGGCCTCATGTGCCGCCTTGGTGTCAACAAAGAGTGGTTTCTTTCAGATGCCAGCTCTTGGCCAGCTGCCGGCTCTTGGCCAGCTGCCAGCTCTTGGCCAGCTGCCAATCCTACTCTACTGTGTCGAAATTACAATACGCGAATCACGGCCGGTCCAGCGGAATGCCCTGGGCCTGACGGCCTCGCTCTCGGCGGCGCGCATCGCCGCCGAGATCGACCTTCTCCAGACCACCTGCCAGACCATCGCCACGAGCACAGGGCCGAGGGCCCTGTGCGGCACCGGTGCTCCGCAGCTAGAACAGGAAACGGAAACCGTGCGGAGGCAAGAGGAAACTCAGATACAGTCAATGCTTCCACAGCTGCGGGCACAAGGCCAGCAGCAGAGCAGTCAGCTGCAGGGTATGGCTGGTCGTCAACAAGATCAGCGGCAGCAACAGCAGCAGTCGGCCTCACCCCACCCCCAGCAGCAGCAGCACCGGTGCCCGTGCAGATCTCCCGTGCCAAGGCCTGGAACAGTGTGCCGGCCCTCGCCACCCGAGTCCTAATCCAAAAGGCCATAACGAGCTTCTACGACGGAACCAACACCACGGATCAATGGGACGCGACGGAACCAACACCACGGATCAATGGGACGCCGCCAACGACGACATCCAGACGGCGCTGAACCAACCCGGCTCTCCGCCAGGCGAGAGCGGCATCTTGCCCGTCGTCGCACTGGCAGTCGAGAGCACCAGCATTGTTCCGGTGGGGGATTCCTGGCTGATAATGCTGGTGCCCTGCCGGCCTGCTGCAGGCGCGCATCTACTCGCGCAACTCTAGCGGCACTGCCGAGGGCCTGATCAGCGTCACCTCCACCGAGGGCCTGATCAGCGTCACCTCCAAGATGTTCCACAACATCTCGCTCCCTTTCAAGAACGCTAATGGCACAAACGCCATCCTGAGCGACGTCCCCGGGGCCGCTTCGAGACTGGAGAGATGTTCGCCTGCTGAGATACGAGGTCGAGCTGGCAACTCGACCTTTACGGTTCCTAATAGAACCCGTTTCGTTTTGGATAGATTGTTGGATAGATTATTGGATAGATATTTTTGGATAGGGTTTTTTGGATAGATTGTTGGATGGGATTTTTTTGGATAGATTGATTGTTGGATAGAATAGATATTTTAGATAGAGCTTTGGAAATAAACTTGGATAATTAAAATACACCGTCCTATGATGGAGCTTGCCAGGGAATCATGTTCCCTATCATAGCTTCGATGACCAAACGGTAAAATGGCAGACGTGTGTTTGTCGATGGGTACCAGACTCGCACTGAAGGACTTGCACAGGCGAGTTCGAAAGCCAGATCGAAGATGGGGTCCTGGCACCCAGCTTTGTACAAATAGATGTAGATTTGCGACCAATCCCCGCAAACAAGTCACCCATTGGTATTGCATATCCGTAGGGCTTCTGGGCCGATGTAACATCCGGTCCTCGTTGCTATCTGTAAACGGCACGTCTATCAACGCCGGCTTGGACGGATCCTCTGGGAAAGCCCACCTTCCCCTATTTACGTGTGGTAGGAACTGCCGCGCTTCTATAGCTTTCTATGTGGCTTGCCTGACTTGCCGGGTCTTGTGCTCATATCCCTTTCTCGATCTTCTTGTCGGTTTCGTGCTCTGTTTCCTATATGTGGTAGAGCGGCTGGCTAGTCCTCCCCTTGCTCAAAGGTGCCGGGGAATGTCCCATCTGGCCCCGTTGATACCTACCGATAGAAAGCGCCAAACCTGTGCCTCGATAGATGGCCCTGCGCCGCTCAGTAATCATCCCTACCATCCACCAGCACCACAAGCTTTGCGTCATCAAAGCATAGCCTGCCCTGAATTGCCTGCGATTCGGGAGTCGGGCCTTCGTAATACCAAACCACGTCATCCGCTCTGTCTTGGCCGATGAGGTTGTAATACCGTGCCTCGCCTTTGTACGGGCAAACAGTCGTCGTAAGCGCTTGGCTCGAGCCTAGGCCAGACCGCAACCGCCATTGGGAGACAGGTACTGACGCACCCGCAGGCCGGTCTCGTGCAAGAAGACGCTGTTTGTGCTTGCGTGCGGCCACCTTGACGCGGACATCGCGCGACGGGGGCAGGCACTCGATGCGCTTGTAGGGGTACTTCGGGTGCGGGGCCGAGGAGCTTTTCGTCTTCGGGTATACCAGGCGTCTGTCTGCACCAATGTTTCCGGTCCACGTCAGTCTTGCCCATTCGTCTCTGTATGGCTTCATGCCTGCTTAATGGAAGCCCCACTCACCAAGCTGGGTAGGCCCAGGGTAGCTCGGCGTCGTAAAGCGGATAAAGCCGGAGAGGCTCCCCTCTTCCAGCACGAGAACGTCTGCCTCCTTTGTGACTCTGGTGCCGCCTGGGAACGCCTCAACGTGGAGTTTGCCTGCCCAGAACCCGTCGTTGGCGGCACCCTCCGTCCTTCAACAGCTCCCCCGGGCCGTTGTTGACGACATCAAGAGGGACGTAAAAGACAGGGCCTACCGACGGTTGAGGAGTCAGACGCGACGATACCATGGTAGCCTCTTGGCGCCTCGCGACTCACAATAAGGATGCTCCCACACGTAGAGGGCGCGCAGCGTGTCAAACACCTATAGCCCGGCGAGCTGGTTCTCGCATGCGTCGTTTCGTCGGCTCCGCCTTGAACGGGCGTTTCTCGACCAGCTTCCGGCCAAGGTCCTGGAGGCTGGTGGCGCCGCCCCGTGGCGTTGTCAGTGAGGTTCCTGCACATGCGGCTGCTGGGTCTTGAGCTTACGCCGACGAGTAGAGTAGACAGCCGTCGCCGGCAGCAGCAGCGCCGCGCAGGCCACGAGCGCCGCCGGCAGCGACAGCCACACCCACGCCACCGAGACGAACACCTGCTGCGTCGTCGCCACCCCGCGCACCACGCCCGCGTAGCTGACCTCGAACTCGGACAGCATGTTGGGCCGCAGCACCAGCGCCGGCGCCGGCTGCGTGTTCTCGTCACTGTCCTTGATGAGGAACTTGGCCGCCCTGCTGATGTTCGGCCTCGTCGCCGTCGCTGCGCTGTCCTCCAGATCCTTATCTGTGACTGGCGGCGGCCGCAGCGAGTAGGCGCCCGCCCTGGCGCAGCTACGTCGCCAGCTGCGTGTCGTTGTCGTACTCGGCGAGCACCGCCGTGCGCTGCCGCCCGTTGACGACCGACACGGCGAGCGTGCGGACGCAGGGCGAGATGCCGCACCGCCAGGCGCCGATCGGGGGCGCGGCCATGGCGTCTGCGGCCAGAGCCCGCGCCTGGAACTTCATGATGGTCAGCCCCAGCGGCGCGACGGCGTAGTCGGGCCAGCCCAGCGCCGGCCACTGGATGCCCGCGAAGCTCGACACGGCAAAGGTCTGGTTGAGCGTCGAGCCGTCGCTGTTGAGGACCCACGACGCGCTGCACCAAGGTCGCGTTGCCGGGCGCCGTCCACTTGATCTCGTAGACGGTGCTGTCGTTCCGGCCCGCCCCGCTGTCGCCCGGCGCCGGCTCCAGGGCTACCCACCTGGGCTGGTCCCGGATGCTGACGCACTTGCTGCACATGGCGAGCGTGTTGAAGATGGGAAACGTGCAGTTGCCCGTCTGGCACGTGGCCGCCACATCGAGCACGCCGGGGTCGCCGCCGCAGCCCTTGTCGATGGTGGTGACGAGTCCTTTCCCGGCGGCAAAGACGGTACGGATATATTCGTCTTGTTGTTGCTGTCAGCTACTTGGCCAAGTGAGAGATCAGAGGATTTGGGCATGACTACCCTAAACACGCACCTTGGCCCCCCGACTCGTCATTGTAAAAGAACTGCGCCCTCGGGACAAACGGCTCGCTCATGGCGCCCGCGGGCTGCACGGCACGCGGCTCGAGCGAGATGAGCTGCTGGGCGGCAAAGTCGAATCCAACCGCGACCACCATGATCAGGGCCCCCACCAGCACGAGCGGCATGGGGAAGACGGCCGGCAAGGCAGCCAGGGAGCCGACGGGCCCGCGGCTTGCCTGGTCGATGGAGCAGAACTCGCTCAGCGGCCTCGCCGCCACCGGGTCCTTGGATCCGCCACCACCCCGCGTGGCGAAGCGCGCCCACTTGAGCTGGGCCATGCAGAGCCCGGCGGTTAGAGCATGGCGCCCTTGCCGACCGTGGCCAGCAGCGCGACGAGCGCGTTCAGCGTAAAGGGCCCCGTGGTGGCGGCGAGAGGCCGGGGCGGGCACGGCGGCGGGTGTCGTGGCTTCTCCAGTGGCTCGTAGATGTAGATGGGGCTGTGCAGCGACTCCAGGTCGTATTCGAGGTGTTTTTCCTTTAGCACCATGGGGGGGCGGGACGCCCCGAGCGCTTCTTTTACTCATGGCTGGGCTGGGGCGATGAGAGATGAGGAAGGGGGGCAGGTGTATTGTGTTTCTTCTCTCACCTTGTGGCATTCTAGCAAGTAGCCTGCTTGCCATCTCCCTCAAGATGGAAGTCGGGCTTTTATGGAGCCAAGACTCGCGATCCCATGTTAAGCTCCCGCTTAGGTTGGCCCCGAGGTGCCGGGTGCTTATTCCAGAAGTGCATTCGGGGAACCAAGGGATGAGCTCTGAGCTGGCCTGGTCTGGTCTGAGAAACAGACAACGCACCAGCGGCAGCAGGTACCAGCGCCACGACGCCAATGCTCGTGTTTCGTTTCAACGCGCAGTCAAAGCTGAGAAGGCTTTCTAGGTACGCAGGACGTCTTCAGATTAAACCAACTCAAGTATTATTGTATCTTGCTCATAACTCGGTGCGCCGCGCTTCACCTATTTCCCGGCCTACAGCCTCTTGCTCGCCCAGCCCAGCCTCGGGGTCGACGAGCCGTCAAAGACGACGTAGGCGGCCTTGAGGGCGATGTCGCCAAAGATGGAGAAGCCGATGCTCGCGTCCGACTGGATGCCGCCAAAGCACGTCGACGAGCCGTCCGAGACGGGCGCGTAGCTGATGAAGCTCCCCGGAATTGTGATGGTGTTTGACCCGACGGTGAAGGAGAAGTCGGGCGGGGTGACTCGACAGGGCATCACGTAGCCGCCCTCCGAGGCCGAGTTCTGGGCCCCCGAGACGTGCGAGTAGTAGTCGTCGACGACCGAGTCGTCGAGCAGCAGTAGTGTGGTGCCCGTGTCGGCGATGCCCGTCAGCCGCCGGCGCGTCGTCTGCCCGTTCACGGCGTAGCTGCTGGCCGTGAAGGACCAGAAGCCCTGCGAGTTGTCGACGGGCACGTACGAGATTGAGCCCGTGTAGCGGCTCGACGGCAGCGCCCCAAAGTCGTAGTGGCCCGGAGCCCCGTGCTTGAGGTCGACGCCGATGACGGGCGACGACAGCGAAGCCTTGACGTTGTCGAAGAAGGTCTTTTGCGCCCGCGGGCTGACCGTGTTGATGGAGCTGAAGGCGAGCCCAACCAGGCCGTCCGAGTCGCCCTGCGTAAAGGACGACGAGATGCGCGACGCCGTCTCGACCGCCTGGTTCTTGAAGCTCACGCCCCCGATGTTGACCACGTCGGTGTAGACCTTACCCGACGCCCCGCTGCCGTCCCCGTAGCGGATGGACCAGGTCGAGCCCGACAGGCCGCTCGAGGTGCTGCTCTTGGACGGGGTGTAGATGCCGTGGCCGCCCTGCGACGACGACGGCAGGTCGCCGCTGAAGACCCAGAGGTCCGACGAGCCCGTGTCGAAGTCGAGGTTGAGCGTGACGCCCGGCGTGCCGATCGTGACCGGCGTCAGGTACTCGATGTCGAACTGCCCCGGCGTCGTCGTGGCGCTGCCGCTGCCGCCGGCCCGGCGGGTCAGCGACGAGGCCGCCGCCTTGGCGTTCTGCACCGCCGCAGCCAGGACGGGGGGCAGCGGCTTGCCGAACTTTTGGTAGGTGCGCGCGAGCGCCAGCGCGCCGTTCTTGACCACGGGGCCCCTGGGGTTGGCCACCTGGCTGACCGAGAAGTCCAAGGGCTGGGCCTGCTGCGGGGTGCCGACCTTGGTGTCGATGGGGCTGGCCGAGACGACGGCCAGGGCCGAGGCGAACACGGCGAGTGTCTGGGCGAAGGAAGGCATCTTGGGGTGAGGGTGTCCTTTCCTAGATGGCAGGAAACCGGGAAAGATGGATTGGAGGAGGCGGGGCAGCAGGAGGCCTAGGCTAGGGGCGAGAAGGAGGAGGAAGAGGAACCTGTGAGCGGGCTGAGGATCAGGAAGAGGAACCTGGAGCGGGCTGAGGATCAGGAAGAGGAACCTGGAGCGGGCTGAGGAGCAGGAAGAGGAACCTGTGAGCGGGCTGAGGAGCAGGAACCAAGAACAGAGGCCAAGACGCCAAGCCGGGCCCTTTAAGTAGACGAGCCGAACCGGCGAGACGATGGCGACATCAGGAGCCCGACGACTCTGCCACCCACGGGGCACCGGCGAGAAGGCCTCGCTCGAAATCCCGCCCCCATCTTCGTGACCCTCCTGATAACGCTCACGACGGCACCTCCCTTTCTTGGCATCTTGGCCGCCCGTGTGGGTGGGCACCAGGGAGGGGCGCAGCTATTGCCGGTCGAGAAATACTCGGAGGCGGGCGTCGAAGCCGATCCAGCAGCAGAGTGGACGCCGTTGCCCCGCGGGCGGGCGGCTGGGCGGACACAGCAGCGATAGGGCGGATGGGGCCTTTGTGATAATGCAATGGGTGCTGTGATGCCGCGTCGGGAAGGAGACGACGAATCGAGTTTGCTATGCCCGCCCCTCTCCTCTCCCCGCCGCTGGCAATGGGGTGCAGCGCCAAGTGTCGTCAAAGAGCTTAACACGCAAATCTCTCCGAAACAAGCATTGTCAAGCTTTTTAATGGCCGGGGGCATGGATGGCCCTGGTCGCCATTGCGCTAACACTCGTCATTGGTTCCGCTCGTGGGGGGGCTGCCATCCTATCGAGGCGGCGAAGACTGCCGAGAAGGGCAGGTGGCCGAGATTGTGGGGTTTCTTTCCATCAGTTAGCGTTGGTGTTGACAACTTTATCGCTCCAGAGGAACCAGGGGGGAGCACGCGATTCAAGGGTGAGGGGACCAGCGCTAGGCGAGTGTCGAGGCATCGAAAGAAGCAACCAGGTGTGTTGGGTCCGTACCTTGACTCCATGGGGAGGAGATCGGTCCCAGGGAAGCGGCAAAGCACATGTGCCCAACCAAGAGACAGAAGCGGGCTATGCGGAGGTTTGGGAGATTTGGAACGGGTGAAGGGGACCCCACTGGCGACAACATCACCCCTTGGCCTCGAGCTTGTCCTAGATAGGAAGTTGTGCGAACTTGTTCGTATCACTGCTAGAAGATGCCGTGCTCGTCGCCGCCGCTGAGGATGCAACTGTCCGCTAGCGTGAGCGTGTGGTCCTTGAAGCTCTTGATGTTTTGTGGCGTGCTGATAGTTGGTTCGACATGGATCTGTTGGATGGGGAAACAGCCGCCTGTTTCGTTAGCCAAGAATCGAGCCTCTCCACTATAACTCTGATAGGCTACGTACCAAAGGGCCCGGCTATGGCATTATTTCGACAGCGAACCGTGCAGATGTTGCCCGTTGAGCCTAAGCAATCACGTTAGCTAACTTCTCTGCACAGGGCCTACTGAAGTAGACACATACCACCAGTGCACCTGACGTCGTCTGGCAGTTTGATGGTGATGTCAAAGTCCTGTGCCACCACCTGCGACAAGCCATTGACCCCTGGCACGTTGTTGAGCATTTCGAGCTGCTTGTCCATGATGCTCGAGTTGCTGCCTTTGTCGATGTCGCAAGCGTAGGGGCCGGCGCCGTCGGTGTTGACTTGATGGAGCGTCATCTTGACCACCCGTCCTCACTCGGGAGACCTTTCCGGCCGCGAAGGCGTTCTCGGTGTGTATGGCGATATCGATGTTGCCTAGGAGCTGCGTCCTGCCGCACAAATTCAGTGTTCTTTTCGATCTCCGTGTCGCGGATCATGTCGTATCTAGCTGGCACGGCGCGATCATGCTGCAGCTTCTAGCGATGGCCTCGTCGACTGATGTCTCTTGTCAGTTTCTCCTAAACCAGGGTGCAGGCATTGGGAGCTTGTCAAGGAACCACTCACCTCCAAAGCCGACGCTGCTGGGGGTACTCGCCTATTCCTTGGGCGTTGAGTATAACCGCATGGTCCTGAATGACGGAGACGAGTGTCGCGGCCGAGGCGAGTGATGGAAAGACGAGTTTGTCCATGTTTGTGTATGACGCAGCCTTTGGAAAAGACAAGCGGCGACCTGGCCTTTGAAGGACGGTCGAGACCCGGGGCTTGTGGTGAGGTGGACACGAAAAAAACATAATGGTGGATTCAACAATGGCTACTACTATATTTTGTGTGTACTGCCAATAAAGGTTCTTCAGGGCGGTGTACATCCTAAGAGACCACAGTGTCTGGGACCACAATCTCTGGGTGCACCTTCCCCTGATCGTTCTCGTCAGGCGGGAACAACAGGTCCACGAGTGCCTTTCGCTTCCTCTCGCGCTCCTCCTGATCGCCCTCGTCGTCGCCCGCGACCGGCGGCTCAACCTCGCCAGCCTTGCGCTTCCTGTCGCCGTCCCACCGCCTGCCGACGGTATCGTGCTTGTTGGTGGCGACGCTGTCACCTGTTTTGTGGTTATCGTTGCAAAGGGACGGTTGCTGCTGCTCCTGTTGCTGCTGCTCCTGTTGCTGCTGCTCCTGTTGCTGCTGCTCCTGTTGCTGCTGCTGACTCTGCACCGTCATCGGCGACCTCACAGCAACCTGAATGGTGTCGGCAATCTCGGGCTCCTGTTCGGCCTCGCCCTCACCCTCGTCCTCGCCCTCGCCCTCGTCCTCGGTATATTCCTCGTCAGTGCGGTCCTCGTTGGCGTAGTCCTCATCATCATCCTCGGTGCGGTCCTCGTCGCTGTCGCCGTTGCCCCAGCCGTACATGTCCTCGTCGCTGTCTAGGTACCGCTCGTACTCGGGCGTCACCGCGGCGGCTGCGGCGGCCGTGGCGGCCACCTCCCAGCTCTCGGCGAACTTGTCGTCGTCGTCGCCGGGAGCGGGTGCAGCAGCGGCGGTGGTGGTGGTGGTGGTGGTGGTGGCGGTTGCAGTGGCGGCGAGGAGCTGGTCCATGTACTCGTGCCACGACAAGCCCCCGACATTCACATCCCTGCCGCTGCTGCTGCTGCTGCTGCCACCCCGCCGCTGCACGCCCGCCGCCGTGGGCACGGCCACCTCGATGGCGTCCAGCGTCGGGGGGCTGCCGTGCCCGAGGTGGTCGCCACACGGGAGGACGCCCTGGTGCACGGGGTGCGCGTGCGCCGGGCGTGGAGGCGGCGGCGGCTTGTTGGCCGGGTCTGTGGCCGGCTCCACGTCCCGGGGATACAGACGGCCCAGGGCTGCATCGACGGGGGAAGCCTGGGCCGTGTTTTCTTGGTGTCAGCTGGTTGCTACAAGGCGGACAGGAGGGCCATTGCTAGGGAGGAGCTACATCACTGTGGCCAACCGCTGGCGGCGGAGTGAGAGACTCGGCGCGGCCTTGCTGGCGCGACATGGCCGCGTAGTCCATATTCCCGGCTGCGTCACGCATGCTGCCGAGCCCGTTGGTTTGGACTATTGGCGTGGGATTTGGGGCTATGCTTTCTTAGGGAGGAAGTACAAGTGGGAGGATGTGAGGAAGGGGAAGGGGGAAGGGATAAAGGCCAGTCGACGAGCTTGAGCGGCTGGGGCGCGTTAAAAGTAATTTCTTTTATTCCTTTTCCTTTTCCTTTTCCTTTTCAGAGGCTGCAGGAGCCAAGAGAACATCAATTCTATAAGCGCCCAGTTGTGCAGTACACCATTTCGCGCGCGTCATGCATGCAAGATAAACACATCATCCAGCGAACCTACCTTCCCCCACGCAATCCGTCTGCTTCCCCCTCCGGTACTGTTTTTTTTTTATCGTCGCGCCTGATGAAACTCTCGATCTGCTAACAGCCTGGAGATCAAGGAGCGTTCCCGAAGCGGTAGTGGGTTGGGGAGGTCTGCGGGCACATCACATTTCCCCTCTTCCACCCCTTCCACCCCTTCCACTCCAGCCCACCACAACCCATCCAGCCTTACCTCCTGGGATAGATTGACCGCGACTTGGCAATCATATCCCTCCCTTTCTTTCTCTCAACAAAACTACAACGCCACATTCCCCCCCAGTCCACCTTGTGCCGTGCAATCCCAGCAGACATGCAGGCCCGCGGTTCCGAGATGGCTGGTTGCGTGCGCCTGTGTTGGCACGGCATGCACGCAAGCGGTCGAGGCAAGGGACCAACCACTCCATGACACCATGACACAAACGGGGGGCGGCATGGCAAGCGAGAGTAGCAAACAAAACCCCGCCGTCTTTCCAACTGCTTTTCCCGGCAGCGTCAATCGGTAACGGCACGGAAAGGATCTGTCACCACAAAGCTGAGAGCAGGTGGGTGGGCGATTCATCATCATGTTTGCTTTCTGCGTTTTGTTTTCAGCCACCATCAAAATGGTGGACGCCAAAGGGGAGCATGCCCGACCGCTTATTGCTTTTGGATTAATGCATTTGGATTAATAGCCCAAGCCCCTCGACTTGTGGTAGGCTGGCTGATATCAAATACATGACGCTGGTGGCGCGTTATCGGCAGGATTCGCTGGTCGAGGCCAGGCCCAGGCCATGTGTGCGTGCGCTTGCTTGCGTTGCATGAGAGGGGGGAGGGGAGGGGCTGCTTGGCTGGGTCGTTGGCGTCAACCCTCCCCGGAGTGAGTGAGTGAGCGAGCGTGAATGAGGGTGTGAATGAGCGCCTGCCTGTGTGATTCACTCGGGATTGGCGAAAGGCGAAAAGGCCATGAGAGCTGGTGAAAACGAAAAGTGAAAATGCAGAGTGTGGGGCAGTGAAGAGCTTGACACATGTACTGGGCGCAACCGCTTGCAGCCTGCTCTCGACACGGCGGTGCTTGGCCTCGAGATATTCTGCCGGCAAATCTGGTTCTGACCGCCAAGACCCTCCCAAGTCTGGGCTCGCCGTCGGGTCAGCTTAGGCATCTTGGCGTGACGTTGTCCTGGCTCAACTTTCGAGATTTGTTGGTGTGACGAGCTGCAGGTTGTGCCCCGCTTTGGGGCGGGTGGTGGGAAGCGTAGAGGGCGCTCCCTAAATGCCAGTGGGCCCCTCCCAGACATTTCCTAACAAGACCTGACCTACTCATTTCCTTCTTCCCTCACCTCGCTGCCCGCACCAACCTCGCCGGCCACCTTGGGCTTGTAGCCACGACGCCATCTCGCCGCTGTCTCTACTCCTCCAAGATGCCGGGCCCCAACCACGCTCAATACCAGGAGCGTTTGGACTTCATCCAGCAGCAGGTCCTGACGAAGCACCTGGGACTCAGAGGGGAGGTTTGTATTTCGCCCAAACAAACACCTCCATCACAAGCTGAATTACGTTTCTGATCCCTTGTTTATGCACCCAAAGGACCTAGAGCGGACCAGCGTCAGCCCGATTCACTATGACCCAGAGTGTCCATTCAAGTACAACAACTTCGTCTATCACATCAAACTCCCGCCTTCGGCCGCACTCGCACTGTCCCATGGCACCATCATCAAGGCCCAAGGGCAACCGCAGCAGCAGACCTGTGTACCTATCCCAACGGGCACCAACAACTTCATCCTGAGGCTTACCAACCAGGACGCCGAGGGCGTACACTTCGACACTCGGGTCGAAAATGAGATCGCCATTATGACTCTGGCCTCGACCGCCTTGCGCAACGTCGGTCTGGACGTGGTCCCTCGTATCTTCGCTTGGGCGAACGGAGCCACTTCTCAAGGTTGGATCCTCCAAGAGCGCATGCCCGGCACGCCTGGCGACGAAGCGTTCAAAACTATGCCCCTGGACCTCAAAAAGGTTACTATCAGGGACATGGCAAAGATCCTCAAAGGGCTGCAAAGCTGCAAGCTCCCTGACAGCATCGACGGCTTCGGCGGCCTAACGTTTGATGGAGCCGGCCGCATCGTGAGCGGGCCCATGTCCAACGTCCGCGCTGGACCCTGGCCCTCCTACCAGGAATACTACCTTGAGCGCCTGCAGAAGATGCTCGCCGATGCCGACGCTAACCCGACGATACAAGGCTGGCGGGCGAATGGTGTTCGGGAGCGCATCGATGCTTTTGTCCAAAAGGCCCTTCCCGGACTTTTTGCCTCTCTTGCCTCGAAGGATAGGAAGGTTATTGTACACGGAGACTTTAGTAAGCAGCTTTCCACCACCGCCCACCATTTGCCACATTCTGCCTCCTCCGCCTCTCCCACTCCGGCCCAGCCTTGGCCTGCAGCGCTGCAGCCACCGCCCAGCACCAGCAGGGATCTCTGGCCCGTTAACTTCACTGGCTCCATGCCGCTGCTGGGCGTTGTGCACCGCCCCAATCGCCTCTCCACCACCCTGTCTGCTGCAGGTCTCTCTCGGCCACTCTGCTCGCCTTTCAGCTTTCTCCCCCTGCCTCCCGCCGCCCGCCCGCTCTTGCTGCTCTTGCTAGCCATGGTGCCGTGCTGAGGGCCGTAATCCTTTCTTCCTTAGCCTGGTTCGCCTTTTTTTTATTTGCTTTTTTTGTGTTTTTTGACCAACCCAAGGGGTTTGTTTCCATGCGCATCCTGTTTTCTTTTCCCCCGATTGCCTTCCCCCATGTTGTAATTCCTCATCACCACTGCGCCGCTCACGTCAACACCCCGCAAAACAGTTATTGGGCCCTTCGCGCCCCATTTGCCACATAAAACTAACCTTAGGGGCTGCAGACACCAACAACATTCTTGTCGACCCGACTTCGGGCCGCCTCACGGCCCTTATAGACTACGACTTCTCCACCGTCCTGCACCCCTCGTTCGAGTTCTTCTGTTCTTTTTCCGAAGACCTCGGCCAGCTCCAAGGCTGGAGCGGCGACGTGACGAACGAAAGCAGTGCCTTGATCAAGGCCAAAGCGGCCTTGAGGGAAGGGAAGCTAACTGGGACGTTCCCCAAAGACCTCCCAGGCTCCGAGTGTTTCGGGGAGGGCGAACTGGCTTGGGATTGGGACCTTGCCAAAGCATGGGAGGGCAGCTTGGAGGAGGTGGGTGCTGAACGGCCAAGCACCATGGCTGGCATTGAGAACATCTCAGATCTCGACGCCATGCTCAACGCCATCCTTCCCTGGCAGCTCGACAACCCCGACTTCCTCGCCATGCAAAGCGAGGACACGGTTAAAGAGATGGGGGTATTTTTCGGCAAGGAGCTGCTGAAGCGACTGGAGCACATGGGGTTTTAAATTTGGCCTCGCACATTTCTATACTGCTTACTTCCACTACGGGATTAGTAAATCTGCAAACTAATCCCTTGATCCGTGTTGTCACGTAACCAGGCGGTCCGGCCCTCGTGGTCTCGTGCGATGTGGTTTACTGGATTCTTAATTATAGTGGTTGCTTGGCAACAAAAACAACAATGGCTCCCGCTTCTGGACTGCGCACCCTGTCCATCACGGCCTGGACGTCCAAATGGTCGCTGGTTAGGGCGACGTTACACTTGTCAAACTGGCCGGGCCAGATGTCCTTGATGACATGGCGGGTGCCCTCGGAGCTGCAGCGGATAGTGGGTTAGAAATTTTGCAGTTCGGACGTGTCTCCCGGGGCAGATCAAGACCGTGGGAGGACGCCGATGGAAAGGTCGATTTACGTTGCGCGGTACACGCCGATAGCCAGGTCCCTTTTGCACCGGTATCGGAAAACCTCGTTAACAACGTAAGAATTGCCCGAAAGGGAAACAATATTTGTCCCGAAAGGCAGCGGTTGCGGCCCGGCAATCGGCTTTGGAGGTGTTTGGGTGGCGTTGGAGGATATGTTGCTGGCGAAGGACGAACCAAAAGCGGTGCGAGGAGGCTGCGCGCACAGCCGAAGCAAAATTGCTCGAGCAAAGGAAATAGGGCAGCGCGAACCAGGAGGCGGCTGCATATACCGCTTGACTGTGCGCGAAAACATGGCCGTTGTATTAAGGAGAGATTCGGAACTGGGACCGGGCAACCAAGATACGGAAAAGTCACATCGAGTAAAACAAGAGTTGCATCAAGGTAGATGACCATGGGTATTGTATTTGTCTATGGACAACAGGACGGTAAAACTCGTAGTGAAAAAGAAAGAAAATGGCAGAGCAGCCTCGCGAAACACCACAGTCGCAGGCCCATCGCTCGCCACCGTCCCCGTCACTGGCCGTCCCACTACTTCAAACCATTTCTGAAGGCCGCGCTGCAGGAGGGCAATGTATGCCCTCGGCCGCCGCCGGAGGCATAGCAAAAATGTTTCCCGCCCTTAGCAGGTATGCTCGAAACTAAACCATTTTGTGGACAAACTTTGTCGGAATAGGAAAATAAAACAAAGGAAATAAAAACAAAGGAGATAAAAACAGAGGAGATAAAAACAGAGGAGATAAAAACAAAGGAGATAAAAACAAAGGAGATAAAAACAAAAGGTAGGAACTAAAGGGAGGAACAAAAGACAGGAACTTGACCACCCTGACCGCCCTGGCCACCATAGCCGCCTTGGCCGCTATCGTAGCCGTTGTCGTAGTACTGTTGCTGCTGCGAGTGGTCGTCCTGGTAGTAGTCTCCTCCGCCTCCCCCCTGATTCCGGCCAAAAGACAGGAACAAAAGATAGGAATAAACAGGAATAAAAAACAGGAATAAAAAACAGGAATAAAAAACAGGAATAAAAGACAAGAATAAAAAATAAAAATAAAAAATAGAAATAAAAAATATGAATAAAAAACAGGAATAAAAAATAGGAACAAAAAACAGGAATAAAAGACAGCGACGGCATTAGTTTCACGTCCCGATATCCAATTCCAAAACATGCTGCTGGTACCACGGCCAAAACTCCTCGACGGAATACCGGGCCAGACGCCGGAGGCACCATATAATACGGTAAATGCCTTCAACAGAAGAAGTGCTGCCTATGGTGCAACCGGTCCACAGTGTGCTTTGTGATCGAATCCGGGGGAGGGCATCGGGAGCTACAGCGTCGCGGGTTAAAGCCGCAAACTTCCAGTCGTGCCCTACAATGTAAATGGCGGGCAAAAAGTCCAAGCCGTGGAGGGCCAGATACGTGGGCTGCTTTGACGGCGGAGCGAACGGGTCTGCTGGCCCAGTGGCTGCTGGCCCAGTGGCCAGCGAAGATGTGCTGTCGTGGCGGGGCTGGACCAACTCTTGGAGCATTTCCCACTGTGCAGCCTGCCAGATGCCCAGCTGGGTAACGGCGTCTTCGTCAGAGCCACCGCGACGTTTAGTTTCAATGCTGATGGCTATAGGCCGAGAAGCCAGGGGTTTGTAGTTGTTGGTATGGTTGATGCTTTGTCCCGGGAGATCCCAGCAGACCTCGGCGACGGCGCGTGAAGCAGGGGTTTTGACAAGATGGTGGTTGGGCCAGTGCGGGTTTACGGCAATGCAAAAATCGACGCGAGATGGCGATACGGGCGGGAGTACGAAGCGAGGTTGGATTGACGCGGTAGTGCTGCAGCAAAATCAATGTATGTTAGCCATCCATATTAGTCTAGCGTATTCGTGTGCCGTTGCTAGCATGCATACCATGGCGTTACCTCGAGCTGGCCGCCGTCGGGAAGGGCCAGACACAACAAAGGATAGTGCACGGCCATGTTCCAGCCGGCCTCGTCCCAGCCAGACAGGAAACATTTTTTCGCCTTCGTCCATAAGGCCAGGACGTCGACCAGGCTTGGCGATTCCTGGGTTTCGAGCCGGCCTTGATGATCGAGCGGGGCGGTGAAAAACCCGGCCTCGAACATGTCGGGGACCCCGGCGGCTTGCATCTCTGCGCGGCGAGACGACGATACGAAGCCCTCGTGGCGGCTTTTCCGGAAGGCAGCCTCCAGCTCGCGGAGGCGCGGCGGCACCATTCCCGCCAAGCCTGTGTCCAAATCCTCGATCCTAACTTGGTCTGGCGCCAACTCCATGGTTCTCTTCCTCTTGGCGCCGGCCACCGCCGACGGGCGGCCGCTGCTGCCCGTGGCCTCGCTACGGTTGCCCGAGCTCTCCCTGCCGACCGAGGAGGCTGACGAGCCGCGGCGTGACGAGCGTGATGCGGACATGTGACGGACGACTTGGCGATGCCGTGGCCGATCGGCGAGGCTGGCCCGCGGGGTGTCGTCGGTGGCAACGGCGCCATGGCTCGATGGGTCCGCGTCTGGGGGCGTTGTTGCCTCGCGGTGGGCGTTGTTGTCCTGGTCGTGGTCCATTTGTCGTTCAGCCCATAAAGGCCCCGAAACAGAGCGAGACTGCGGTGGTGTGCGGAGATTGGTGCCACAAGGGCCTCGCCTCCTTTTGGCAGAACCGTCTCGCTGCGAGTGCTGCTGGTCTTCGTCTTGGTCGGTTCTCCGTCGCTTGTGGAGGTCGCGAGAGGGGTCGGCTTGGGCGTCAACGTCGGCACAGTCGGGCAGCTCGTTGAGCCAGCGCAGAACGGCGTGGTGCATGGAGGTGGGTTGTGTACATTGTGCCATGTATCGACACCAGGTAGAACCACCAGGTAAAATGATGGATCTGATTGATGGGAAAAAGGGTGGTGGTTCTTTGGGCTGCACCCTTGAAGGCGGATTTCTATGGAAATGCTCAAGGCAAGGCAGAGTAGGCCGCGGTTGGCAGGCCATTTCCCCACAGCACGCGTTGGAACCTGCGCTACGTCGCCCCTAATCCCGGGTCTAATACCTCGCCAGGCGCTAAACAACTCAACTAATGACACCACAGTAGAGTGACACCAACCGAAAACAAAAAACGAGCCACCAACCAAGATAGGGGCACACTTTAAAAAGCTGTTTATTAACAACAAAAAATAAGAATTAATTACTTTCTTTATTCAATTTAATGGGCAGTCAAGATTCTAGGCAATTAATGCTTTTTTAGGCGTAAAATGGTGCCGAAGCATCGCGAATTGGGTTTGTTTTAATTGAAACTAAATGCTTTTTGCTATAAAGTTTGTATGGGGGAAAAAGGTTTAATGGCTCGTTTTTTTTTCCGTGGTGAGTGAGTTACCAGCATTGTGCCTATTGCGTTTGTTACGAGTAGCCTTTCCCGAAAAAGTATTTGTGTAAGGTATTTGCAGGCGATACCAAAATAGGAAAGTGGCATGTCGATTTTTTGGCTGCTACCGTGCAGATTGTGCGTGTGCGGTTAAGGTTTATCCATCGGGGTGGGCCGTGCATTTACGTGCTTGGGCCCCATTTTATACATTTCCCCGTAAATTTAACCGCTACGTTTACCGTTGCCGTTTATCGAAAGTAAAATTATTTTACATGTAAAAAAAAATATCGTAATCCGGATTTTTAATATTTTAAAGCTTATAGCTTTTATTATAATTCCGGTATTTTGTAATTATTTTCCCGTTAATTCCAATTCGTTGCAATCCTTTTTTACTTTTTAAATTTATATAAAATTTAATTAAGCGATAAATTTGGTTTATTCGTTAGCCGGCAATCCTTTTATTAAACCGTTAGCTTTTATATTGGCTATTTTTATTAAGCGTAATTTATTTTATTTATTTATACCCTGTTATGTTTATGGAAGAAACCTTAGTGCTACAACTAAGTAATGCGTGGGGAAAAACCTTTGGGTTGGGCTTAAAGGGGAAAACCCTGCGCCTGCGTGCCGCGCTTCCGTAGCGGTGTTAAACCGGTGGCTGCGCTTATTTTTTTTTTTTCGCTCGATTGCTCGTAAAGGCTTTACCCGGGAATTAACCGTCCTCCCGCGTGCAGCCCCTTTTGCAAAAGGCCGATAAAACCGCGTCCTGCTTGCTTGTGGTTGGTTGGTTAATTGCTTCGTTATGTAATTTGCTAAAGCTTGCTAAGCTTTAATCGTTATCGCTCCGGGGTTCGAATTGCCAACTTTATTTTGCTTGCCCAAATGGTTTAAAGCATTTAAAACCCTTTTTTTTCCCCCCCCCTTTTTTATTTTTTTGTTACTTTTTTTTACTAGCCCGTTATCGGCGTTTCCTTATTCGGTGCACCACGTGCGTTATTTTTTTTTTGTTTGTGCCTTAAAAGGCCCCAACCTTTAGGGCACGTGCAAGGTAGTAACTTTGCCAAGCACGTAAAAAGGGTGCATTCGAAAATCGGATTAGTGGTGGTAGCGGACGGGTGCAAAGCGGTAGCGCAAAGGT